AAGGATTCAGATCGATCGCAAAAGGAAAGGCTGAGAAAGAACAGGAGGTCTGGAAAAGTAAGAGGATTTCAACAAGTTTTTAAGCGAAGGATATAAAATTTTCGAAAGAGTGGCTGAGATTTTTTAAAAAATGCAAAAATCTAGCGCTGCTATGACTCATGTAGAGCACCCCTCGAACATACATTTATCGGCAGAGGTTGCCTTTGTTCTACAGAAGTGATATGGGAATAATAGGGATATAAAGTGCAAAATATCCGTGACCAGGAGATCGGACGAGGAGGAATGCTTGAAATCATCTGTGTACTAAAATCTGCAAACGATTAAACATAGCACACCCATACAGGAGAGGAACTGGTAGTCGAATTTTGATAATTTAAAAAAAAAAAAAACGAATTTCGCCCACTTCCCCACAAATCTAGAGTTTCGAGGACTGATGATTTCACAGTTGGCCAAATCCGTTTGGAAATTTAATACCTCTGTAAGCGATAACCAGAACTGGAGCGTGACCGTGTTTGATAGAGGGATACAGGTAATTGCGAGCGCTGCAAGTATGGGCAAAAATCCGAACAGTATAAAATGCTTTTAAGAGCTTTTGAAGAAGGCCAGGAAACGGCGGGGCAAGGACATACACAGCCCCCCGCATTATCAGCGATCCGCTTTCATACACCGCTTGTTGCGGTATGACGATTGAATACAACTCCAGCACAATCTCTCGTCCTCCGCACATGCAAATATATGCAAATAAAAAACGCATTACATCAAGGACGTCTTGTATTTCCCTCTGTGTACGTGTGCATGTATGTATGTATCTTGGACACATATGATTATGCATATATGAATATGCATATTTGTATGTTAGTGTATGTACGTAGGTATTTTGTGTGTTGTACATTTGTAAATATATGCATATAAGTATGTGTGTGTATTTTTATGCAATATACAAGTGTTGAGTATGGTGTGTGGTGTGTGTGGGTATGAATGCATGTATATGGTGTGTATGAATATTTTGTGTATGTGTGTGTGTGTGTGATATGTATGTGCGTGTGTGCGCATGTATGTGTGTGTATGTGCACACGTCTGTAAATATACAGTCTATGAGTTAAAATATGGATAAATTACAATAAATTTTTTAGGTACCATAGTAGAGCAAAAATTGAGTTAATCGAGACCAGTTTCATTACATTGATGAATTCTTATTAGTGGACGTTGTTCAGCGAAGCGTAATTCAGCGG